CAACCTTAAAGGAGTAATTAACTAAGAGAATTAACAATTCTATATTGATCCATTTTGCCACTCTATTAAATTACTTGCTAGTTCTTGTTTTGAGCTTGTGTCTTTCTTTTTTTTATTATATTTTAATATTTTATTATGTCAAGACTGTTGATAAAAGCCTACTGAGCAGTGTGCCTTTATTAACAATAAAAGTATATTAGCACCACACATTCTACCTCTGTACACACTCCCCTTCCCACAAGATATGAGGGACATCCCTTCCCACAAATGAGGTAAGGGACCTTCAATTGTGGAAGATAGTGGCCTTTTAGCTGGCTAAAATGAATGCTTTCATCCTCCAAATCCTTTGGCATCTTTCTTCCTTAGTAGTTGGTTTCACAATAAAAGGAAAAACTTTTTTAAAACTCCCACTAAGGGAAAGTTTTCACAGAAGCCTTCCATTTCTTACATGTTCCTTAAGTTTAAATCTCTTTGATAACTACAGATTTACACTCTCAGTGTATCTTATTTTATAGCAAAGCATATCTAGCTTTCACTTTTTCAACAAAGATTCTATACCTTTGTACAGTGGTTGATGAGAATTAATCACCATTAGTTGTTTAGAAAAGTTTTATTATAGTGTTAGTAATTACGTATTTTAGCAAAAAAAAATCCCAAGGTGACATTTTGAAGAAAATTGTTGATATATTTTATATATTAGTAAAGGCCTGTCTGCACAAACCAGTCTTTGAAATAAGTTGTGATATTAAAGGCTAAAGTCCTTGAAACCTTCCTGCAGAAGAGAGAGTAAAGCAAAACAATATCCTTGTGTATAAGAGAAAGAATGCAAACCTGTGTGTATTAGCCAATAGTAACTTGCTTAGCCGTAGACCCTGTAGAACCCTATAAAAGGTGTGCTAAAGATAGAAATAAACGGTGTTCACATTTACGTCTGTGAAGGCTGGTGAATAAACTGGCAGACTCTCAATACAAAATTATTTTAAAGGTTCTTGATTAACCATGGTTTCTCAAATTTAAACTGCTCTTGACAACTGAAAGTCCTACAGTTCAGGGCAAAGCAGTCTACAGAACTTGAAGGTTCACCACTCATAAATTCAATATGTGTGAAAGTCTGAGGGAGTGGAAGGAAACTATGTGGAAAAAGAAACAAATTTTAAATTATGAAGTATATATAGAATAAGCAAAAAAGATCAACACTGCCAATTTTATAATAATGTATGATATTGTCACTAGAGATGTATCGGTGTTTAATATCTGTTTTCTTATTTTGCTTATAAAAATAGAGATTTTAAATTTGATTTCAAATTAATTTCCAGGGCAACTTCAGGACTAAGATGATGATGCTGTATTGACATTTGAAAAATATGAAATAATTACATTATTTTTTGAAGTTAAATTATTAAATAGGGAAATTTTCCATGGGCTGTAAGGGGCCCCTCAAATATCCCCGTATACTCAGTTCATCAACGAACCATTTAAAGATGAACCTTCAAAGCTTCTTGATTTTAAGTGTGATTTTTTTTTAAGTTCTGAAAGTTACCTACTTAGTCTCTTATTCTTGTGAAAAATCTTGCTACTCCCAGTGAAATCTCTGCATGTTGATATTTTGCAAAGTTGGTGCCACTTCAAAAGGTGCTAAAACATGAGCTGGTCTGAGAATTTCTTTCCTAACGTTTTGCCTTTTCCTGTGTCTCACTGCCCCGTGGTTTAGGTGTGTAGAGCTGAGCACACCGAAACAGGCAGGTGTTGAGCACAGGAGGCACCCTGGAGGTCTGTTCCTCTGGCTGTAACTCATGACACTGACCTGAATCATGCATCCAGCTTCCCTCTGATAGCAAACAAATATCACAGGCCTTCCAGGACCTGAGTGAGTCAACAGGGAAGATGAAGAAGGACTTTACAAGGACATGTAGTGACAGGATAAGGGGAATGGCTCCAAACTGGAAGAGAGCAGATTTGGATTAGATAGTAGGAAGAAATTATTTGCTGTGAGGGTGGTGAGGCACAGGAACAGGCTGCCAAGAGATGCCTCATTACTGGAAGTGTCCAATGACAGGCTGGATGGAGCTCTGAGCAACCTGATCATGTGGGAAATGTCTCTACCTGTGACAGGGATTGGAATTAGATGATCTCTAAAGTCCCTTCCAACCCAATTCTATGATTCTATGCTGATTATTTCTTGATGAAGTCTATCTTTCTGTGATTTTTCTCATTAGTACAGTGGATTTAGAGCTTCCAGATCACAGACAAAACTGCAGCCACCATGTTTAGCAGACTCCTGCTCTGTAGAGGCACCCACAATTCTTGACCCATTTGGATAGCAGAGGACAAAATGTGGAGAAACCTGGGTCAGTCTATGAGAGAGCACTGCTAAAATACAGATATTGGAAATGCATGAGTTGAGATCGACCTCCAAAGCAAATCTGCTTAGCAGAAATACAGGTGCTGGGGTAGGCAATTATGCTGGATTCCCTGACAAAATTTGCTTAATAACACACTTACAAATCCCACAGATCAAGACATCACAAGGGTAGTGAAATTGGTGGGTGGCTTCAGCACATTCCTTCTGCATGGTAGGAAGGCAATGACCAGAACTCATGTATCCTGTCATCAGGATTTCTTCTTTCTTACACTTGGAGTTGACCACAAGTTCATTGTATTCCTTAGGAATCCAGAAAAATTGCAAGAATCATAAACTGAGTCAGGTGCCAGTGCTTTGTAATCATGGAGTGTGCTCTTTTACAGGATCAATTACTTGAGCAATTAATCAAATTAGTATTAAAAATTGCAGTTGAACAGTAGAGATTCCATATTAAATATCTGAAAGTCTTTCAATTATTTCAAAGTAATTTCAGTTCTGAAAGAGCTTTTGGTATCTATTTTTTTCCAGTAATTTTCATCTATGAAATGAGGCTTAGGCAGTCACTTTTATCTGTATCTGTTTGTGTGCTCCATGTCTCACAATAACAGCTGAACTGATTTGCTGAAGCAACAGGACTTTGTAGTTATTTTTGAGACTGCCTAAAGCTTTTGAAATTTGGAGCCAGATAATGGGAAAAGAAGCAAAGATAAAGACTGCAGTGTAAGCCTCTGTATCATTAGACAAAAAGAAAAAAGGAATCTACAGTGGGAGAGAACCTACTAGAAAACATCTATTTGTGTTTTTTGATCAAATCTAAATCTGAAAGAGATAAGACTTCACTAATACCAGTGCTCACAGAAGTGTTACTTTCTGAAGCAAATTCAGTCTACATTTGTTTGTGCTTTCCTCTAGAGAGTTCATCCTTAATAAGAAACTTCCTTGAACTTTGGTTTGTATTACAAAGGAAATTTTTGTGTAAGTTGTATGAACCTTAAAATAGGAAAGTGTAGGGGAAATTTAAAGTCAACTTTATTCTGCTTGCCTATTATATTTTTCCATTATCATATTTCTTTACATTTTTTACATCACACAAACCCAAATTTTCTTGGGAAAAAGAAAATCTATCCATTTGGAGTGAGCTGATCTATGGCTTAACTACCTTTTGAGTCCTATTATGATTTTAAAATTAATGTAGGTAGATCTTGATGGTCATTGATCATAAGAGTCTTTTTTACACCCTTCTGGATAAGGTTACATACAAACCCTTTAGAGTAGTTCCATAAATATTGAAAAATATAGGGGCCACATAATCAACATGAAGGAAGTATAGCTATAACCTCAAATAATTTTTTGGTGTCAAAAGATGCACACAAACTATTTTTATGTATGAAAATACTTATTAGAAAAAATAACTTGAAGCAGTGGAATAATTGGCATGTATTCAAATTGTGGTTAATTGAATTCTTCATCTGTGGCTTAGAGAGCCACATGGGGTACAGATTCTGCACAGAGGAAGCAATTTTCATTAACGGGATATAATTTAGAATGAGAAAACATATACACTCTGCCTGCAACACAGTTAATAATTAATATGGAATAAATACATAGACATACACTGAGTTACCATATATCTACCTGTCACTCTGTAGAGTTTCAGCAACTCATTTGCATGCTAAGTATATTTATTCAGAGAGGCGACACTGTAACACTGCCTTCAAAAGTGGAAGACCTTTATGTCACAGCATCGGAAATGAGTCATCCTTGTTTTTAAAAGGCAAAGTGATATCAGAATGGTGATTTGATCCCATGCCTCCTTACATTTAAGAAGTTTGCTGGTTTCTGAACCGACACTGTACTATTAAAAAAGCTGATAACCAGTTCCAAAACTGATCATTATTTTTGAGGCTGGTCAATTTTCCTGAATTAGATTAGAGAAAATTTGAAACCTCTTAAGAAAGAATATTATTTCTGTTTTGCATTCTAACTATCTCTAGCATTTATTATTTGATCTCTCACATATGCTGTTAATATTGGGATATGTCTGCATGCAAAAAGCACACTATTTGAAGGATTGAGAAGAACGTTTTGCAGGATGTATGAGAAAGCATGCAGTATCAGTGAAGGGAATGACTGACTGAAAACCAACAGTACCATGGGGTCCAATCTCTGTCAGTGGCTTGCTGCATCACTTTAATAAGCAAGTTGAGTTACACCTAGTCTCCAAAACAGTTAAAGCTACTGGGGGTAAGAAATTCTGTGAGTCAAGATCTCAGAATGTGCTTGTTCACATATCAACAGTGAATGTGTTGGTACAAAGTCTAACCATGGTCTTTACCTCTGGAAAGGTATAAACAGAATTTTAAGCCCAGTTGCTTTTGAGACTGTGCCTTAACATGCACAAAATTCTTGACTCCAACAAAGCTGAAGAATATTCCTTAAATATTCCCTTGAATCAAAGCTCAAAACTCCAAATGTCTTGCAAGGATTTCTTCATATTTCACCTAAACCTATTCAGCGCAATAAAAGCACTCACAAATTTTCCATATTTCTGCCACATTTATTTTATGAACCACAATGACATTTAATATTACTGAATTGTAGGACTAGACTTCATATTTTCTTCTCCTTTTAACAACAGGTGGTAACAATATTGGCAAACATGTCTGTCTTGGACCAGTGTGCTTCAGAAATCATTCAAGGAAATGGTATGCATTTTAGCTGAATTATATCTTTTATTTATTTCTGGAGAGCCTGAGTAGATGGGAATGTAGTACTTACACAATAAAGGAGAAAGGCTTCACTAATAAAGCTTCATTTTGCATCCTGTCTCTGCTGGATATTGCACATTGCTGCAGGGTGCAAAATGAGTCCTGGGAATGGTTCTACATAACCAAAATATAATGCCACTGTTTTAGGAAACTTTGCCTTTGTGACCATGTTGCTGGTGTTCTGTGTGTGTGACTTATTCCCAGATGGAAAGCAAAGTAGTAAAAAGTGTTTCAGTAACTTGTATTGTGGTAATACCGGTAATATTGTGGTAAGATGTAAATACCTTATTAATACACCTGCCAGCAAATTCAAGGCCAAGCAATATAGAAAGACAGGTGCCTTTGCTTTTTTCCTTTTTTTTTTTTTCTTTTTTTTTTTTTTTTTTTTGTGGGAAACATTAAATTACAGTGAAAATTCACATATATTGCTTTGCTAGGCCAAGTAGGCCGAACTCATGTTAGACACTGCAGTGGACTGTCAAGGACAATGACAACAAGTAAAATTTGTGTATACACTCTGTCATGGAATTTCACAAGAAGCATTTTCCTCCTGGCTTTTGAGAGCGGTTGGCACTCATCTTGTGTGTAAAATCTTCTTAGTGACTGCCTAATGTTATAATAAGCAGGTCCTAGTCAGAGACCACATTCTGAGAACAGTCTTCAAATTCTGGAGAATTGAGGTACTTTCTTCTCAACTCTGACTTTTTTGTATGTTGATTGATAATTATCTAGCTGCATGGCTCTGATGATAATTCTCTGAATTATTTATGCAAATGTTCTCTGATGCTACCTGATGTAATCTGAATGCCTAATAGCATATGGAGTCTAATAGCACATAATTGTCTTTACACTTAAAATAGTCTAGAAAAGAGAAATCATCATCCTTTTTTTGTGATGCTACAAGAAGAATATCAACTCCAACAGGCAACAATAAATTAATGAAGCCGCTTTGACATGGATGACCTTGTCTCTTCTGGAATGAAGAGTTAGTCATACAGTAAACTTCAAGAAAGATAAATTCATCATTTCCTTCATTAATGGATTCCTCATTCTAAAATACCCTTAAACAGTTTGAGAAAGAAACTTTTAAAGCCCTGCTTAAAAATATGTAAACAAACAAACAAAAAAATTACTTTGAATGGGAATGAAACTTCATTTAGAGACCTGAAATATGTCACTACAGGTTTTTCAGATAGTGATTATCTTTAAGTTAATTTAGAAGAAAATAAAGAATTACATTTGGCTGATTGAAATAAATTAGTGAAATTTAAAATACAAACTTTTAGAGGACGAAAGACTTAGTAATTTTCTAGATCCAGAAGTTCTGTAGCTTCCTAGTGAAGATGAACTTATGCATAGATCAGATGCACTTGGGTGCTGATGTCAAAATTGCAGACTTCATTTATATGTTCTTCATGCCCTTTTTGGGCAGTAGCTGGTCTGTATTAACCCAGCTTCCCTCTTCCCTTTACTTTTTTGCATTGAGTTTTTTTTTTGTTGGAGAGTGGATAACAATGGCTCTTGAATTCTTTTAGGTGTTCAACTTTTAATGGAAATGCTCTTTGAAAAATCCTCCTCAGGAAATCCAGCAGATGTTGCAGCTTGTGAGCGAGTCCAGCAGAAATCTGCAGTTACCCTGGCACAGCTCAGCCGAGATCCTGAGGTGGCAGATGCAGCCGTAAAACTCAGCTGTAAGGATGTGCCTCCTACTTAATGGCACTGTAAGGAGGTACTGCCAGTCATGGAGAAGCTCTTTTTAATTTTTAGCCTCACTTGGTAAACTTTATGAAAGATATTCCCTAAAGAATCTGTCCAGAGGATGACTGGGAAGATGGAGCTAAATGAACCTCTGGCTCGTTTCCCAGAGGAACCTGAGGTGCAGCATCCACTCATCATATAGCTGTGCCTTATTGTGCCATCTGACACTGCTGCCTCTTCCGTTCCTTTATGTAAATCCTTGGGCAGGATCTGTCAGGGCACAGAAATCTGGGACCCCAGCAGGTCCAGGTGTGATGAATCCAATGGGAGGGAATGTGTTCTTTGGGTAGGAGTTTTTTAAGGGTGCGTGGGATGATTGGTAGTGAAGAAATGGAGGTCACAATTTCCACTCTGAAACTGCAGCAAGTAAATCCAACTTATTTGTTTATGCTTTACAAACATTAATTATGACTGCTCTGAACTGCATAGCTCCATCAAAAGTCCCTTAAGTATTTGCATATCATCTTTGCATTAGAGATCATATCTACTAAAAAAAAGACCAACATGATGCATCTTAAAAAATATCACAAAATAAGGAGTTGTTTTTCTAAATTATTTCTCCTGACACTCTTGTGCACTCAGGTGTTCCTCACCTGATTAAACTTTGCAGATCACCGACAGAAAGAAATAACAGTGAATCTGTTTTAGTGGCAAGTCTGGTATGTACATTGTAGTATTCCTTTCATGCTTATACTGGAAAATTAAGGAGAAAACCTCCCTTTAGATTTCAAAATGCATAAGTATTGCAGAAATGCTCTAAATTCATGTCAGGGTCTCCTGCTTTTCCCCTTAAGCCCAATCTTGTACACTCTCAATTATTCATCCTTAAATTGAAGATTTAAGCACATAAGGAAAAATGGCTTCTTCTTCATATTACTGAGCACCAAAAAAAACTTCCTTGGAACACTTTGGAATTTAAGAATTCATTAATTCCTAAATTCCATTGAAATTAGCCTTGAGTCATGGGGGTAGCAACCCTTTATCTGCACTCACACATATATATGAAAATATTTATGTAAAGCATCCAAAAAGGGGAAAAGATACTTCTTGCTTCCACTCCAATTCAATTTCTTGTTCTATTTGTATTGCCAAGACAATATAGTGCCCAGGCAAAGAGTGGGCAAGAGAAGCTTAACACTTTCTCTGCTCAGGAGAAAGATCCCATCTCCACTGCACGGACTACGAGCCAAATGCCAGAGTTGAATGATTTCACCAAGCATTCTGTGACAGGGCCCTGGGGACATATGTGATCTCGGGTTGGAGCACAAGTTCTGGTGAATGAAGACTGAAGAATATTGTTTGACAGTGCTTTATGATATTAGTATTATTTTAAATGTAAAAGTAAAGCTCATGTATTGCAGCTTGTTCATTTAAGCAGGTCTCATTCAGGATGACAAGAGTATAAATGTGAGCATAGAAAATTCTGTGGTTATTCTTCCTTTATGCCAGGAAGACTTGTTAATCTTGTGTGGTTAAAGCAGAGACCCCAGAGCAATGGCAGGGAACCAGACTATGATTCTTCTGTCTCACTGAGGTTGTTGCTGCACATTCCTTGAATCCATGCCTATTGCTTGAGACCTTACCTACCTCCCTGTCTCAGAAATTCTGCTTCTCCTGATGTTTTAGTAACTGCCTGAAGATGTTTTCTGATAAAAATGTGGCAAAAATATTGTCCTTGAGACATAAGCTGCTTCAAGCTCTGATAGGTATTGTCACTGGTGTCTGAGGACTTGTACTGTACTTAGACCTGTTGCTCAGGTCTAAAAGTAATGTACCCCAATAAAATTGTAATTTAATAACTTTGCATGAGGGAAGATTCATCTGACAGATGAAGACAGTAAGGAGAGATTACCTAGCCGCAGAATTCATAGACCTGCACAGTTCAGTTTTGAATTCTGGCTGTTACTTAGATATTGTTATAATGGATTCCTGCAATGAAGGCTTTGCCAAACCTGAGTGCATTGCAATGCTGCTGTTTTGTTTTTCTAGGCAGCCTTGTGGAGACTAGCACTTATGAGTTGTGATGGACTGGAAGAGTCAGATTTTCAGCAGCTGGTAAAGCCCAGACTCATGGATTCTTTTCTGCTGTGCACAAACATGGAAGAGAGCTTTGTATGAATGGGAGCAAAAAAACCTTTGAACAGTAAAGAAGGTGATAGGTATACAGTAAGATAACACATGAACAATTTTATTTTGGTTTAGTCCTATTGTTATTTATTACTTATTTATTCTAAACCAAAGAACATGTGCTGTATTAGAGTGAAGGAATAGAATGAGAAAACTTGTTACTGTGTTTTGCAAAGAAAATTTTTAATTTTATTTTCCTGCCAAGACACACAAGACCTTATCATTGCCATCTAACAAAATGTTTTGTTTAATATAGCTGAATTAAGGTGATGAAGCCAAGAATTTGTTGCTCTGATGTTAAATGCATCTAATGATGTTTTATCACTATAGATATTTTTTCTATAGTTAGGACATTTTGTAGGTTTTATTAATAAATGTTTAGCCTCATCTGCATTAGGAGAAAAATAATTCTAAGAGCTGCAAGTATATACTTTGAAATGAAAGGGATATTACAGTCTGAGTCCAGTTATTAACTTTTGTTATTTTTTAATAAATTATGTAACTGAGAGAAAGAATTCCAAAAAATGTTAAAATACTGGCCTTAAATGATGCTAGCATATTTCTTAGGCTGTATAAAGATGTGCTCCATCAGAGGATGCACACTAACCAAAAGCTCTTTATTTGCATTGACTGAAATTTCCAGGAGAAATTAATAGAATTCTAGAAAAATCTTTGATGGTGTGTGTGTGTTATCTCATAATGTGAGATTTTAATGATTTTGTAATGATTTAAAGTCATTACACAGCGATAATTTTCTCTCCTTTCCAAGCCTTACAAGAACTCGAAGTGCTAATGCCTAGACATATTTTTAACATTCAAGCTACTGTTTTTGTGGAAAGTTGTTCACACCTATGCTAAATAATCTGAAGAGCTTAATTCATTGCAACTTGAATTTTCATTTTTCTGGTTTGCTAACCAGTCCTGTATTTTTAAAACTTAAATGGGACTCTTCAGAGCTCTGGAAGTTGAGAAATGGATGATAACCTAAATAAACAGATGTAATTTTGAAATCAACATTTTTTCATGAACATTCTTTTTAATTCTTGCTTTTTCACTGACAAACCACATATATTGAAAATTACTCAGCCAGCAATATCTTGTTAGTGTTTTTTTTCCTTAACTTTTCATAAAGCACTCTGTAGATTATGAAAAAAGATGTAATCTTTTTCTTTATGGCTTCCAAACGTTGCTTTAGATCATTTTATGATCAGCAACTTCAGGGTACTAGGATATCTGCCAAAATCCTCCTACATTCCTTCCTTACTGTACTTTTTAGACATATTAAGCTGCTTACTTCATTAATGTTTCTTGAGAGTTATGTGGTGTTTAGATGAAAGGCACCAGGAAATTGTGAAGCTGTAATTGCCTTCCACATTTTCTGTATATGGGAAATCTGTCCTGCTTCAAGCAGTGTGACAATGGTGGCTACTTTTTTCTCCCTTGATTGTGCGGGTTGAGAAGTCTCTGTCTTAATGTCTTTCTTGTGAGCTCTTCATATAATAATCTCTATCTTGACTGAATTTTAAAGCCTTACATAGAATGACCTCTGTCATGAGCAACTATTCATAGAAAAGTGTTGAATCAGATATTCTAGGAAGCACAGAGATGAACTCTGCTTTTTTTTGCTTACTTTGAGAGAGCTTCTTAAGTTTCCAAGATTTTTAAAATGTATGGTACTGTAAAACTTTAAAAATATTGTATTAGTGATGGACTTTAACACTTTCCTCACTAAGCAGAAATATATGTCTGAGCCATGGATGTCTTGATATAAAAAATGAATTAATAAATTTCATAAAAAACTAATTAAAAATAAAATCCCATTGCTACAATTCTGATAGCATGGCAATCCTGGATAAAAACACATTGAATTCTGTAGCGAATTTCTGTACAGAACCTCATTCTGTCAGCTTCAGCTAACACCAGAGATATGAGTTTCTAGATGGAGTAGGGTTTATCCCATAATAGGTAAATTTAAAATCTCATTTTCCTCACATGCACTGTGAACTGAAGCAGCTATTAAGAAAATGCCATCATGACTCATAATGTTTTAATGTCATTTCTAACAGGTCAATCAAATATTCAGTGAACAGGTTGGTAACAGCTGATTTGCCTCAAATACAGTAAAGTGAACCCATATCGATTGAATTTACTACAGATACTCTCAATCTGCAAATATGGGTCCATAATCTAGGTTCATATTTTCCATTATATTTTATATTATTGTTATATTTTATATATATTTTATATAGTGCTTATATTATGGAATTGGCTCTAAAGTACATTTAGGTGGAACTCATATTTGCAGCAGAAAATATATCTTGAAAGAGCCATTTCAGCAGACCTCTTGTCACCTAAGTGTCCTCAAAACCATTTTATATAGGTCTGATTTTTTAACCTAGAGCTGTGCACTTTATTTATATATGCTAAAGTTTATGAGAAAATAAACATGTCTCTAACTTTACCTCTTGATTCATTTGGAAATAATAAGTCATTAAAAATTCTGATATATTTTTCTCATTACTTCTGAATGAGAATTCTGGATTCTGAATGAATTCTTGATTCTTAATGTTTACTTCGAAAGTGACCCTTCAGCTCTTAAGCAGGGCAAGCAAACAAAAAAGAACAGTTGAAGCCAGAATAGATATTTTGGCTTTCAAATGTAATATAAATTATAATACTTAATAATGAGAAATTTTCACTGAAATAAGTATTGTGGCGGCTTAATCCTTGGATTCCCTATGTATGTACATATACAGGCAGGAGAGGGAGAGTGGAGAGTATGTGTAGTACCATGGACCTGATTTCTCTGAGCCTGAGAGAATTACAGCCTGTCTGTGCCTGATCTGTTCCCAAAGGAAAGTCTCTTGAGAGTCTCTCACTCAAGGCCTTCCCTAGCAACTCATTCTGGTGCATGCTGTGAATGAATCCACACTTCTATATTCTGTCCAACAGCAATATAGTACATTCACAAATCAGCTCATTTACCTGGACTCATTGACCTATAAAGACTGAATGCAGGTTAGGTATTAGTTTAATCTCCCTGGAAAATGAATGCCAAACTTGTTAGAAATGTCATTTCACTTAAATTCTTTTGAAATTTTTCAGTTTTGTATGAGATTAGAGATGTCTAACAAACATGCAATGAGCTGCAGGATTCTTTGTAATTTTGACTTACACTCCAGCAACTTTGTGCATCTTCAAATTCCAGCTTTAGTTTCAAACTGTTTACAGATATTCAGGGCCCAGGTGTTTCATTCATAGAATAAAGTTTGGTTATTATCAGTTTATTGTGTACTTGGTACATGAATCACTTATGTGGAATGTTACTTGTCTGACCTTTTCAGTTACAAATAATATTTATATCTACAAAGAATAAAATAATATCTTTGTAAATTGCATATCTTAACTATTTTTTGGGGTTGCCTGTTAGTATCCAAAAGATTACTTCCTTTGCAGGGTTTTGCCTTTGTACTGATTCTGATCTCTCATATGGCTTGTTCCAAATTTTTGTGTTGACCATCTCCTTTTAAATAACAGCAATGAACATTCAAAATAACCTTGTGTTTTGTATTTTGAGGAATCTGCTTTGATCTTCAGTTTAAATTTATATTAAATTTTATGTATTTAAAGGAGCACTCTAGACACTGTAAATCATTCACCAGTGTTATCGTTTTTAAAGGGAAGAGAGGGAAGATGGCATTAAGGATTGAAAAAAGCTCCAGAGTGAATTTGTTAATTCGAGTTGGAAGTGCAGAACTGGTGGGAAGGTGGGTGAATAATCCACCTTCTTTAGGGTCAGAAAGACCCTAAAGAAAAACACAGGATCATCTGCTCCAGATACTTATATGCTTTGTGGCGACCTTTATCACTATTTTCTGGCTTGCTCTTGGATCTGAGTTTCTCTTTTTCCAGCTGTAACAAATTTCTTCCTCTTGGGATTATATTTGTGTAATTGCTCGCTATCTAACAGAAGAAAGTTATATTCCAGGGTCTGGTCCAGCTAATTATTATATGGATAAGGTTTTTGCTGAGAAATTAAGTTATGGGAACTGACAATGGTCAAATTTTTAGGCTTCAGGTATTAGTTTGAGCCTGTGTGGAACTAAGTCACACAACGTTCTCACTCTGGCCTGAAAAATCATAAGGAAGAATCCAAACAGTCCTTTGAGAAGGAAAAAACCTCTGCAGCAGTTGTTTGGGTCCTTGTTGTTTACTTGCAAGAAATGGTCAATGGGTGGTGTTCCAATTGTCCAATGATGGTGATATGTTAGTTTCACGACCAATGAGAGTTTTACCTTTCGGACCTTCTCAGAACTGTCTATAAAAGAAGATCTGAAAGAATGTAACTTGCTCTCTTGTGCATCCAAGCTATGAGAGTCTCTGTCATGCTTCCACCATTCCTAATATAGTGCGACACTATGTAACAAAAATACCTTTTTAAATAGATGTAATGAGGATCAGCTAGAACAGAAAGAAATGTTTATTGTTCTTACCACAAGGGCAAGGACCTCCAAAAATCCTGAGAGAAAGCATAGTATAATATATAGATAAGTATATCAGCTTATTACTTTCATGTTTTGGTACTTTTACAAGCACACCTGCTGACTAAGAGTTTATGAATTGATCAGTTGTCAGCCAAATAATCACTGAATCAAAGAAATAAAAGAAACCCACTAGACCTACAGACCAAACACTGGAAAATCAAAGATTTTTCTCTTTTATTTTTAACAGACAGCTGCTGACTTTTTCTTCTAATAGTTGAAGTATGCCTAGAACCCAAAGAAACCTATGGGAAACCAGTGAGGCAAAAAAAAAAAAAAAAGCAAAAAAAAAAGTAGTAGGTAATGCTGCTAATTTGCTTTGGAAAGTGTTGGAGTCTGAGACACAGAGTGTGTGCCCTTGTTTCTGATACTTAGTTCAAAAATCCAGAAAAACACTGCATTTCATACAACATGAAATTTATGAGCATGTTTTCATGGTGATACATGGAA